TTTCCCCCCCCCCCAAAACCCCCCCTAAACCCCCCCCCCCCCCCCCGGGGGGGGGGGGGGAATCTCCCTTCCTGCAACATATAGGCATATCTCAAGCTCACACCTCCTGGCTTTGGAGCCTGGTATAAAAGCACAGACCCTTTGAATCCCCTGATTGCCGATAGTACAGCTTGTATCCTGATGATGACTGCTTTGTAGTGAGTTTGTCAGGTTGCCGGTGGCTCCCAAGACCAGTGAAGCATCCTTCCTTGCCATTGTCCTTCCCCTGGATGGGTTTGCTACCACAAGGCCGTGTTTTGGGGGCAGATGTTTTATTTCTGCTGTTGAACCTGATGGAAAATGTTGGCTCTCCAGTGACATGTCTACTTAGGATCCTCCCTGTTCCTGTTGTAGCCAGGCAAACTGAAGGCAGTCTGGGTTAAGGAGAGAGGACAGACAAGATAATGCTGTGCTTTAAGCAGCCTTCACCGCTTTCTTCTGCTGCAGATCACAATGGTACCCAGTCAGGCCAGGTGGAGTTCACCAAGGCGTGGGAGGATTATTGTAAGAAACTAGGTAAATACCTGCTTTTGCACTTTAAGTTTTAATTTGAAAACAGTCTTGTGAAGGGCCCCTTCCCCGAGTGCTGCAGCCCGTTCACAGCTCTGCTACCCTGTCAAAGAGCCGGCCGAGTCGTTCTCCGAGCAGGCTTCCTAGGGACAGACTTGAGAGTGCCCTCCTTGTGGGAGGAGGGGCAGACCCCCACCCCCTACACATGTATTTAGATTTTAATTACTTCCCCCATCTTAAATAAATTAACTGGCTGGGGAAACATTTTGCTGTGAAATGCATTTAGCTGCGTGTTCTTTCAGCCTGCTGCGGACTGTAATTCTCCTAGAAGAAAAGGCATTGAAGGAGGTCCTTTGTTGGCATTAGCAGGTGGACAGTTGAGGCAGCCTTGACCTCTGCCAGAAAAGGTCCTGACTTGTAGCGTTGGTCAAGTCTTTTAACCCGCTTTTATGCCCCTGGACAGGACACTGCTGCCCTGTTCCCTCCACCCACTTCACACTGGCAGTGTATTATTTTCCCCCTTCCCCCCACTTCAAAGCCCCCCTTCGGCCGGCGTCGCAGGGCAGGGCTGCACACGGAGCACGGGCGCTTGGATGGGCTGGGGAGAGCTCTCCTCCACGCGTGTCTCCCGTCCTTGCCTGCCGTCCGTGTGCGTAGCGGCTCACGCTCTCGCTGTGCCTGCCTCTCTCTGCAGTTTTCTAATTGCTGTGTTTTCTGTTCAGGGCTTTTTTTTGTTTGCTGCGTGTCTGGCTGAGGGCTCTTTGCTCTAACCGTGACTAAGGCAAGTGCGGGCATCCCGCCTCTGCACCCGGCTGGCTGGACTCTCCCCTGCAACAGCACTTAGATGTGCTGGGTTGAAGGTGTCTTAGGGCTTCACAGAGGGGGAGTCTGTGCTAGACCAAGGTTTTGGGATCTGTGAGGTCTCTCTCAGTGCAGGCGTTGGCACCGCTTATCTTAGTGCAGCATAGGAGTCTGGAGACTGCGCCACAGAGCCAGTCGTGGCTGTTGGAGGGTGTCGTGGTTGCCTCTCCGGGCGGTGTGTGTGGGCGTAGTGCTGAGGGACCGCGGAGCTGGCTGTGCTTTGTGCAGGGCTCACGGCTCCCTTCGGTCCTGAGGACTCTGCAGCCGGTAGCGGTTTGGCTACCCCAGAGCTGTGTGCTGGGGCAGATGGTACACTGGAGGCTCGTGTGTGGGCACATTGTACAGGCATTGCCCGCCGGGGCTCCTTCAGACATGGTCTGCTGGCGAGAGTCAGGGTGGAGGATGCAGACCCCTGAAAACCAAGTGAGATGACTCAAAACACGGCCATTTCCTTGGCAGCTCCATGGCTGGAGATTGAGGCCTCAGTTCTGTCAGGGGTTCAAACCCTCCGTCCCTGTGCTAGCTGGAGCCTAGGGTGGCTGATGTGCAAACTGAGCAGCTCCCAGCAAATGTGCTGGGAGCACATTTGGACCTGGACCTGCTTGAGCAGGTCCCAGCAGGGGGGACTGGGCTTAATGCCCTTTAACGGGGCACAGGCGAGATGAAATCAGGAATTTGAGCTTGTCCTCAGCTTTCCCTGAACTGAAGATGCCCAACACTGTAGAAAGGTGGAAGCTGAAGTGTGAAGTCTGGGCAACTGAGGTAGATCCAGGGCCTGTCTAGTGGAAAGGTAGGTGTCACTGGCTGGAAACTGTCACCTGTTCCATATTGACGTGCCCCTTGTTGTCATCTTTGCACAGGCCAACAGAGCCAGCAGCAGAACAGCCATCCCGATTACAGCAAAGCATGGGAGGAGTATTTCAAAAAACAGAGTGAGTGAAACAGGGTTATTGGAGATGAATCAACTCTTGTTGTAAACAGAGCTAACGCTAATTCAATGACTTGCGTCTCCATCCCCTGCTGTTGTTAGCTTCCAGTCCTCTACAAAACCCCTTTGGTCCTCTCCTGTTGGTGATGGTGCATGTAGTTCTCGCGCTGGAAGCTCTCAGTTGTGCTGTCTGCTGTTGCGCCTCGGGAGAGGTGCTCCCATTGAACCACAGTAGACCTCGTGTCCACGCTGGCAGTCGGCCTGCCTGGGGGAAACGTAGCACACAGCAAGAACTGATGCTAACAAAAACCAGAAAGCTGAAGCTGGGTCGTTGAGAGGGTAGGAGAGCTCTGCGCACGTGGAAAAACATGGGTCTGGCTTTCTCCACTCCGTTAAGAAGCGTGTGGTGCCAACTTCTGGATTTGCATTTGACACCATGCTGCTGGGGCCTTCGGGCCGAGGATGAAGGGTGCAGGCCTTCAGACCTGTCCCCGCAGCTGCGGGAACGGTCTCTTAATGCTTTCTGGCTGCTGTTGGCTTGTCGCTTGCAAGCCAGCTCAAAGCCTGTCCTGTCGTATCCAAAGAGCAGATAGCCAGTGTCGCTCTTTCAGATGTCTGCAGCTGTTGGAAGGGGGCTGGCTCTTCTTTAAGCTTTACAAAAGGAGATCCTAAGCCTGGGCTTGGTCTTACCGAATTGCTCATCTCTCCCTTTTCCCTTCTTTTCCTCTAGGTCATGCTGCCAGTGCTGCTTCTCAGGCAAGTTCCCAGCCGGACTACACGATGGCTTGGGCAGAGTATTACAGACAGCAGGCTGCCTACTATGGGCAGACACTAGGGCAGGCTCAGGCCCATAGCCAGGTCTGTATTCGTGTTCCCTGAACCCCACTGCTCTTTCAGGGGAACTGGGTACGTTGGCCTTGCCCTGGTGTGGGGACTCTGCTTTGGGTTCACGTGGTGAAGCCAAGAGATATTTTGTGGCTGAGGAAGTGATCACAGAAGTGAGAAACTGCTCACTCCTCCCTGTCGTGTTGTCTCGACATCAGAGTCTTACTTTCCTGTACAGGACGAGGGGGTTTTTTGGGAGAGGGCTGGGAGGTTATTTGTTTATCCTGGGGACCTTTCCTCATAACCCCCAGGCTGTTTTGTGGCTTCGGGGAATTAAAGTAAAAGGAATGATGGAGCCAGGCTGGCGAGGCAGCGCAACACTGGCACGTCGCGCAGTCTGGGGCCATGCGTGCAGACTTTGCCTTTTCTCTTGCGAGCTTTGTGCTAGGAGAGGAGCTGTGCACTTGCCTGGGGAGGGAGCACCCTGTCCTGACAGGGAGGGGAAAACTGTTGAAAAACAATTTGGATTAACCAGCTGCCAAGTAAAATCTCACCTCACCTGTCACTCAGGAGGGTTGTGTGGGATTTATCCTGATCGTACCCACAGGGCATTCTGAGCACTGGGTTTGCAGAGCGAACATCTCGGTATTTGGCAAAAAGTATGTGCAGAGCGCACATATGCCGTGGCGGGGTCAGACGCTTCTCCCCGCTGAATCCTGTTTTTGCTCTGGCTCCTCGGAGCAGGAGCTGGTCTGGATGCAGGCGGCGCGGGGAGCCAGCACCGTCCTCAGGCAGCTGCAGCCTCCCCGCTGCCGTGCTCCGGCACCGCCGAGGTCGAGCGGGGCGAGCCGGGTGCAGGAATCAGCGCTTGCCGCGGGCGCTGGCCAAGTGTGACCTAGAAGCGGTGATAAAAGGGAGTTCTCTTCATTCCTCTCTCAAAGTCTGGCCCTCTAGAGAAGAGAAATCTTGTTCGATAAGAGGCATGAACTCCTGGAAGGAGAGCTCAGGGATAGCAGGCATTAGGGCAGAGATCTCTTCGGCAGCGGTTTGAAGCATCGTTTGAGGTATATATCCTGCTCGGCTGGAACGGGGAATGAGAGACCTGTCTGTGTCGGGGGAGGAGGGCTCGACAGCGTTAAGAATTTGCTGCCGCTGAGTAACTTTTCCTTTTTTCCCCCCCTCTCTCTCTCTAGGAGCAGTAGAACAAGGTCCTCGTGGCAATTTTTTTTTTTTCTTGGAATCATTGTGGAAGAAAACCTTTTTGTAACAGAGGTTTCTAGATTTGCAACATTTTGATGAAGACTTTTCTGTTTGTTTGTGAAACACTAGTTGTAGGATAATCTATACTGAACTTTTCTAAGAATCAGGAACAATTAGTAATGTACTAAACTTATGGACATGCTGGTAATTTTGTTTCCAAATTTGTAAAAAAAACAAAACAAACCTCCGGGATTCTTTTTGGAGAGAAGCCAGAGAATTTGCAGGCGCCAAAACGCACCCCAGAGCTGTGACATTTCAACATGTGGTTTTTTGTGTGTTTTTTTCCTTTTAATTTTCGATCTTTTCTGTTGCAACAGAAAGAGTGGCTTGGAAGTCTTAGGTGGTATGTAACAAATCCTAAAAAGAAAAAAAAAAAATTTTAAACAGTATTTAAATATTCTTAAATATGTAAATTCATTAAATGTTTTACTTCTAATTTCTTGTATCTTGGCTGTCTTTGATTTTATTGCATTTTTTAAAAACTGAACTATGATATGTATTGTAATTAATTATGTGAATTCTGTATTGAGGCAGTTACTGTTTTGCTGTCAGGCAAGTTACGGGCGGGGGGGCATTTTGTAGGGTTTGTATAATTTCTAGAGTCTAAAGGGGTAATATAAAAACGTGTTAATTTTTTTAGCAATACATTTTTTCATGTCTCCATTGCTAGTTGCATTTATGTATCTAAGACCTCCAAGCTTGTTTAAAAAAAAAAAAAAACAAAACAAAACAAAAAAAAAGAAAAGAAAAAACTTTCCTCTATGCTCTCAGAAATATAAATACTGTTATTTTTAATATTAAAATGAATCTGCTATTAGTACCTTTAACAAACACTGTGGAACTTAAAACCATATAAAAGGTAGTAACTATTTTTTAATTCCAAGGTGTTTTTTGCTTTTTCATTTCTTTTAAATATTTTCTTATCTAATATTTGTCAAATTACCTAGAGAAATAAATGAATCTAGTATTAACCACAGTATGCGCTAAATAATTTTGATTTAATAAAAGGGATAATATGATTTCCAATGTTTACTGTAGTGTTTCTTGTACAGATAACAGTGTATTTTTAAAGGAAAAACGGAATTGAAGCTATTTTTTCTTGCATTTTTAATTGCTCTGCGGGACATTCCGTTTTGAAATGTACTGAAGTTACTGTTCTTGGGTTCTTTCCTTATTTTTCCTTATGCTTGAAATGTCTAACTATAAAGAAACGCGATTGGATAATGTTGAGCATGGTGTTTAAAAAAAAAAAAGTGTTCTTTTTATTTGACTGACAGTTGCATTTTACACTCTATATAATAAAATTTCCACAAGGTGTCTTGTGGGTGAAGTATTTCCAGTCTGTTTTCCTCCGTGTGCTCCCCGTCCGCTGGCCGAGGTCCCCGCGTGGCGAGCCGGCAGCCCGCAGAGCCCCGCGTCCTCTCGCCGCCGCGCTCGCGCTGCTGCCAGGTCGGGGACGATCAGCGAAGTCAGCTCCAGCCTTAATTCTAGCGAAACTCTCTGAACGTCGCGCCCAAGCGTCTCCTGGCACCGTGACGCTGAGGATTCCCGCAGTAAGGTGCTGTGATTGTGGCTGTTTGGGCCGGGAAGAGCTGTTTTGGAAAAGGGAAGTTTTCTATACGCCAGAGGGGCATGGATTTGCAGCCGTATAAACATTTTATTGCTTGTCAAGGAGGCGGCAGCCCCTGGTTTTAATAGCCTGAACTTGTTGCTTTTTCCATAACTTTGTTTTTGCGGCTGAATCCCTCCAGGACTCGCCCTCCTCCCTGCGAATGGGGCTGCTGGAGAGGGAGAGGGATGCGGAGGGACGCGGCTCTGGCCGTGCTCCTTCATTAGATAGGTTAAGGAGCAGTAACTTTTACTTGGATGTATCCAGGCCACGTTTGGCGATAACTCCAGCCCCTCCCGAGTTCCCTTTCTTGTAAAATAGGAGTTTTGTGCTCCTCTAACCTAAACTAGCTCCATCCACCGCTCCCCAGCCAGCTGTAGGGGGGTTACAGACGGGGGAAGGGAAGAAGATCCCAGCTGCGAAGCAGGGCGCGGGAGGCATGTTGAGAGCCGGAAGAAAAGGAGATGTAGCATCTCTAAATATACCTCCAGAGAATCAAGAGAGACATTGAAAGATGGGATAGTAAAAGCCACTTGGAAAGAGGGGAGAGGGGGGAAAAAATGGCTAGAGGAGGGCATAAAGGCTGCTGATGGGAATTGGGAGTGGGCATTACCGAGAAGACTTCCTTCTAATTCATCTTCCAAGCTCTGTGCCAAAACAGCATTTGGCATGGTTCACAGGGAGCAATTGTGTGATAATGAACCCTAAGGTGTCCCTTAATTGAAGACTGAGTATTACAGATTGTGCCAATAGTCGTAAATGGCACAGGATTGTGGGAGGATGCATTTTCTTAAATGTATCTGTAAGTACAGATTAGCGAGTCTCCCCAGTGAAATACCCATACTATAAATTATGGAAATATCTCCTTCTGATGCAACCTTTTATTGAGGGGGTGGGGCAGCAAAAGAAATAGTTTGCAAGCCTTTGAAATTTGGCCTGTCATTAAGATGGTGCCTGCAAAGCTGGGTTTTCATCAGCAGTCTGGTGGCCTGGAAGACTAAAGTGCTTGAAATGTTCCCAAGTTCAGCAATTTGTTTTCCATTATTGCTGCCTGCTCGGGGCGGAGGGGCCGCAGCCATTGAACTTCTTTCTGTTGTGAGCCCAGGAGGAGCTGGAGAGGGGCAGGGCAGGAGGCGAAGAGACGCCTTGGCACCTCGCGAGGGGCCGGTGACCTCCGGGTTCCTCCAAACCCCGCTCCAGCCCTGCTGCCATCCTGCTCTGGCTGCCCGGGGGGGTCCTGGGGACCGGTGCGAGGGTCAGTCCCACCCCGGGGCTGGCCAGGACGCCTCGCCTTTCACGCTGGGGTCTGTGGGCAGCTCCTCGTGCCTCCTGGCTCGGGTGTGTTGTGCAGCCCAGAAGCTGCTGTGGTGCCTTCAAGCCAAGTCTGTGGTCTCCAAGAGAGGAACCGAGTCTCCTGCTCAGCTCTGGGCAAGCTTAATCCCCAGATAAAGTGGATTAAGCACTGACTGCGTTAGATTTTGTGGCAGGGAGGGTTTGTCGGCCCCTTGGGCAGAAACTGGATGCTGCAAGGAGCAGGGCAGGTCCCCAAGGCACCGCGTAGGAGCCGGCACCTGGGCCGCATTTGGGGCTTTGGGGTCCACCAGCGGTGGTGGGGACGGCGCAGCCTTTTCCTCCTCACAGGGGCCGGGCGTGGGGCCGTGCCCGGGTGTTAATCCCAGGGGACAGCGAGGAGACCTTCCGTTTGGGGAGCGCTCTGCCTCCGGAGCGCGGCGTTTGGGGACGGAGAAACCAGAGCCAAAGACACCCCAGGTGAGTGCCCTGGCGGGAGGTCCCCAGCCCCAGCTCACTGGCTCCCGCTCTTTCCTATCCTCTACAAATAACCTTCCTTCCTTCCAGCACGATCCCTTTCCCGAGGCCTCAGCCCAGGCGCGCGATGGCTTCGCTCCCTCCCGGCGTGGATCCATCACAGTTCTATTCAGCGGCGCGTCTTTCACGGGAGGCATGGCCGTCTCGGCCCCGTGGCAGCCCAGGCTGGGCGGCACCTGCCCCGCTCTTCAGGCACGGAGGCTTATTTCTAAGTAGAAATTTATTACGGTCCTTCTGCAAACCATTTCTGAGCAGCAGCCTGAAAAAGCACGTCACTAAAGCATCTTGTTGGGTTCACGATGACCCCGATGCTCTCCTGTGCTCTATATTCGGTGTGCCTGAACAGGCAAAGGCTATTTTGGGAGCAGAGGGGAGACTTTAAGATAGTCTAAAATACTTTCTTTAATTTTGCATGATTTGAGAACGAACTACATTATGGACGTTGCAAGTTAAACCAAAATGATTATTGAAAGAGACAACCAGGCATGGGGCTTTTTTTTTTTCTTCCCTGAGTATTAAATATTTAATTGCATTAGAGCAACAGTATATTTACAGTAAGCTGGGTGGGTGATGGACGGCGTGGTCGGAGGGAGAGCTCGTGGTATTTAACTTGAAGCTTTTTGACACGATGTGGATGTTCGCGAGGTCCCACCTGTGCTGCTGCTTCTGCAAACCCTTGGTTCATCTCACTCTTGGGAGGGTTTTTGGGGCTCTTGGTGCTTGTAGGGTTGTGGTGCGGGGCGAGGGATCGGGATCTCGTGGTGACAGGTTGCTCCTGTTACTGTTTAATATATCAACGATCTGGACAAGGGGGTCGAGTGCGCCCTCAGTAGGTTTGCAGATGACACCAAGTTGGGTGGGAGGTGTCGATCTGCTGGAGGGCAGGAAGGCTCTGCAGAGGGCCCTGGCCAGGCTGCATCGATGGGCCCAGGCCACTGCGTGAGGGTCAGCAAGGCTCAGGGCCGGGTCCTGCACTTGGGTCACAACAACCCCATGCAACGCTGCAGGCGTGGGGAGGAGCGGCTGGGAGCTGCCCGGCGGGAAAGGACCTGGGGGGGTTGGTCAACAGCCGTTGAACATGAGCCAGCAGTGGGCCCCGGAGGCACAGACGGGCGAGGGCATTCTCG